AGATTACGTCATAATGGCAAGTTCACTGATCTATATACATATAGATCAGTGGGGGAGTCTTGGAATCTAGATAAGGTTTGTCCAAGAAATTGATTTTGTTGCTAGGCTTTTGAAAAAAGTCTCAAAAGGGGTGAGGAAGTCACTAAATCTAGTGACAAAATCACTAAATTGGCAACTTTGATATTTACTACAACATCATCAGTTATTGCTATTTCGTTGGTCCTCTTGTTTTTGCATGTGTTCATAATTTCTTTGTATGACAGGATGGCCAAAAAGTATGACCGCACAATTTTTTATGTTTTATTGCATTATTATCACAAATAAAACAATTGACACTGAGCAACTATGCAACATGCTTACAAAATCATTAACACATTTTTTTTAAATAAGGGTGAAGATGTCAAATTTCCAAATTTCCAAATTTCCTTCCATCAAGTTTGGCCACTACTATATGGCAGCTCAAGTCAAGTCAAGTCACCTTTATTTATATAGCGCTTTTAACAATACAGATTGTGTCAAAGCAACTGAACAGCATTAATTAGGAAAATAGTGTGTCAATAATGCAAAATGACAATCGTAAACACTAATTTTTCAGTTAAAGACAGTTCATCATTCAATTCAGTGATGTCATCATCCAGCTCAGTTCAGTTTAAATAGTATCTTTGCAATCATTTGCAATCAAGTCAACGATATCGCTGGAAATGAAGTGTCATTGGAAAGGTGCGGCAAGGAACCAAAACTCCATCGGTGACAGAATGGAGAAAAAACCTTTGGAGAAACCAGGCTCAGTCAGGGGGCCAGTTTCTCCTCTGACCAGACGAAACCAGCAGTTCATTGACCTTCCAACTGACCGTCAAACCATGCTGCAAAAACAAGCCACTTTTATGAGGATTGTGGGCTTTCCTGGAGTTGTTGGAGCCATTGATGGAACTCATGTTCACGTCATTGATCCAACTGTAAACAAGGAGTAATAGCAATATAATAAAATTTCAAAGCATAAGTAATAATTTGTGATAATTTTGCACAATGCAAAGCATTTTTTTTAATACATTTAAATATTAAAATATTTCAGTGTCTTAATTAAATTATTTTATTATAGTTACATTAAATGATTGGTGTTGTGCTGCTGTGACTTCACATGAGCAGGCTCACTATTGGCTGTTTCAGAGGTCGAGGGCAGCCATTTTGAGTTGACATCATTGTAATAATAATAATAATAATTAGTTGCATTTATATAGCACTTTTCTAGGCACTCAAAGCACTTTACATTGTCAGGGGGTATCTCCTCATTCACCACCAGTGTGCAGCATCCACCTGGATGATGCGACGGCAGCCATAGTGCGCCAGAACGCCCACCACACACCAGCTTATTGGTGGAGAGGAGACAGAGTGATGAAGCCAATAAACAGATATGGGGATTGTTAGGAGGCCATGATGGTCAGAGGCCAATGGGCAAATTTGGCCAGGATGCCGAGGTCACACCTCTACTCTTTTCGAAAGACATCCTGGGATTTTTAATGACCACAGAGAGTCAGGACCTCGGTTTAACGTCTCATCCGAAGTAGTCTTTAGTACACAACACTTAAGTGTCACCTCAGTCAACACTTAAGAATCAGTCTTAGACTTTACTGAAAGTTGCTTTTAGTTTCTTTATAAAGGTCTCCTACTCTAGTCCTATTTCTTACTAAGAATTTTTTTACACTTAAGTTTGAGAAGTTTTATACATACAGGCCCAGGTTTTATATTTTAATGTTAAATCTTGTTTGTGTGACTGTATGTAATGTTGCTGGAAAGCACTTTGGTCAACGGCAGTTGTTTTAAATGTGCTATAGAAATAAAATTGGTATTGTATTGTATTTTCTGAACAGGAAGAAGCAGTATGACTTTGACCACCGCAGTACAGACACTGACCCTTTTACCGTTTTTCCACTGGGGCTGGTGCTGGAGGTGGTGCCAGTGCTCGGCCAAGGGTGGCACTCGTTCAGAGCTGGTTTGCATTTCCACTGGCAGGGAGCAGAACCCTCTATGTCATCAACATGTGACTGGAATTGCTTGTTGTCTCTTGTAGAAGTAGCGGGTTGATCTCTACTGCCGACCACTGCTGAACTGACATATTTAATTGTTTTCAATGTTGTTAATTCACTTAAACTCCAACAGCTTTTAAAAATGGCACCTTTCAAATTGTGGTCTGTAGTAGAAACTCGGCCTACTGACATCATAGGGTCTCTTGTTTGTGACCAGCAAAGTTTCGGGGCCGGTTCAGAACCAGGATGTGGGCACCTGCCCAGGAATTTTTTGAGTGGAAAAGCACAGTCCGGTTCCCAACTGGGCTCCGGCTCCGACACCGGCACCATCCCCGGTGGACAAGCAGCATCATCTCTCCAATACTGCTTCCACCGATACCAGAATGTGATGTCAAGATTTGTTTGGGAGAGGAAAACTAGTCAGAATCAGGTGAGTGTCAAAGCCAGAGTGACAGTCTGATTAAATCCAAAGGTGACTCATTTTCAAGATCAGTGGCAGGCAGAGGTCAAAACCAGGAAATAGTCCACTCAATCGACTAGATCAGAGATCTGAGCCAGAATTAGTACAAGGACATAGTAGATGATCAAACTAGGAGAAGTCAGGGCCCATATTCACAAAACATTTTATCTTACCGCTATGAGTTCTCCTAAATAGCAGTAAAAGTTTTTAGCTAAGAGTTTTCTCTTAAAACCTATTCACAAAGCTGCTGAGACAAACTTTTACTAAGGAATATAGAGAAGTCTTAAGCTAAGAGTAAGGGGGCGGGGTTGACCTCCTTGCTATGGATGATGTCAGCATGCTTACTAACTATGCACACAGTGATTGGCTGATAGTCTCTGTCAGAGATTTATAGAAATATTGTAGAGTGTAATATTATGTCGCCATATTCAAATAAAGGTTTAAAAATAAAAATTTTGCCATATTCAAAGATTTAAAAATGCAGACTAAGTGTCACTAATTAAGCAAGTATATGTTCAGCTAATTGTCAGCCTCTTACATGTGTGCTTCTCGTAAACAGTTAGCAGATATGCATATAAAGAGCCTTTTAATTAACAGAGTAGAATAATCATGATTCTGTGTGTTCTGACCAATGAGAGACATGGATTTTGAGCGGGAGAATCGTCTTTGTCTCTTGTTTTATGGCTCATTTGCATGCTTTATGGCCGGTCTGGAACATCCGTAGTTTTAACCCAAAATATCGTGCGAGTCATATGATGCGTTTCACAATCACATACTGTACGTCATTGTCCGAGAAATGAAGAACGGGTGACATTGATACCAAGAAACAATAATCTGGAATAGATTAAACCAAAGATACATACATACACCTGAATATAAGTGTTTTATGGCTTTAACTAATACAAATAACGAGTGGTAACTCATCTAATCTAACAAGGGAGTGTACACACCACATGCATATACCAGATACAATTATAACTGATTAATTATAGTCTAAAATAAAGAAATGTCTGTATGTGTGTGTGTGTGATAGTTGGGGTGTGCGCGTGTTCGTGTGGATATTCACAGCTCTCTGTGGAATGTTTTTGATCAGAAGATTCCAGGATTCTCGTGGGGGCTGGTTCTAATCTTTTTGACGGCGAAGAACCATTTGGCAATTTACAACCCCTATACAAGTAACATCTCTGACCAGAACTGTAATTTATATGCAAATGTCAAAAGGCTAAAAGGGTCTTTTAAGCCATAAACAGTCCAACACTCCAGCATGATCCTACGCAGACGCTACATACGTCTTGCCCAACTTGTTAATGAAAACAAGGATGTAATTAAAGGAAAATTTGGAGTTGGGATAACCTCCAAAACCAAAAAAGATGCATGGGAAAACATATGTGTGCAAATAAATACAGCGTGTTTCTAAAATGTTTACGTTCCGAGGCAGATTGCCAGCAACAGCCATTTTAGCCCGGCTGAAAAAAAAAACAAGAGAAACCATCACAGAGTTTGTAATGGTTTTACTGGTTATAATGGGAATTTAACTGCTTTTAATGGTAACTGTAATGGTGCCTGTTGGTCTCTACTGGTAATTGGTCAACTTCCATTGGTGTCTTGTTAAAACCACTAATGAAACATGCCCCAAAACACACTACAGGAAACCATTTTTTTAATGATTTTAATGGTTAAAAGTTGATGGTTTGTAAAGTATGTAATGGTATTTGTAGTGGAAACCATTAGCATTTCTTTGATGGTTTCTATTGTTTTGTTCAACAGGGAGGATAGGCATAGTTTGTGGCTTGGTCTTAGTGACTTATGAGTCCTCTTCACTACTCCTAATGTTTAGGAGCTATTTTTAAAGCTAAAATGCTTTGTGAAAATGAGAGCAAAAATTTAGGAGTCCTAAATTTAGGACTGACACGCCCATTATTTTTTAAGATTTTCTCCCAAATCTGCAAGTTATGAGCTACTTTTAGTCTTAAGATGTTTTGTGAACAACATGGTAACCAGGATTCCTCTGGCAAAACTAGGCAGAGATACAGCGTGAAAATGGAATGGACAAGACAAGATAAACTATACCAATAGGACAGTAAGCATGAAGGTTAAGAAAACACAGAGCAGAGAGGAGAGTTTAAACCACTGTCATATTTGTGGAAATATCAGCATTTCATTATTTTTCTATTGAATTGTTTCTTGATTTTTCATTATTTTTCTATTTTCATAACCTTGTGCACAGGGCTTGTAAAGTCAAATTAAACTGTATAACTCTCAAAGCTATTACCCTTCTGAATACATAATCATATACCATCAATAAAATGTCTTTATTTAACTTGAGATGACACAACGCAATTATAGAATTACCCCTGTATTGCAGGTTATGACAACTGTTGCTGTAGTGCGTCTGTGGTTTTTACACATGCATACTCATATGATTTCTGATAGGGAAGTGAGGAAAGGTCATTACTAACGGTAGAACAGAAACACACAGTAAAAGAGAGAGAGAGAGAGAAAGTTTTGTTGCTTGACAGATAAGGTTCATTTCACTTTTAGCTATAGAGCAGTGACAGTGGCATATGCCCGGCGACAGAGAGTCAGTCACTAGTATTTTACTAAAAATTATGGGCACTAAAGTAAAAAATACAGAGATACCATTGTCTCTGGAACAGTTTCACATCTCTGAGGATTATGGGTTTATTCTTCCTGAGCCTCTGGTAGGTCATGATTCTTACTGTATAGCATTTTGTTAGCTGCATCAAATCATTTTTTAAATACATTTTTATGTTTTTTACACCTTGTAATAAGAATGTATTGGTGTCTTATGCAATGTACAATATAAATTAGCCTTTTCCTTACCAACCAAAAGAAGCAACTGATTGCTCTCAGGTAAAGCTACAGTTCTGGCATTACTTGTTATAGTTTGGTAACACACTGAGAGTGTCCAAATTGCTGTGCTAGTGAGAAGGATTTAACAAACTATTAATTTGCATTCATATAGTCAGTATATTCAGATAGAGTAAGCCTGAGTGTTTGTATAAGAAAGCATTAGACTTCGACACTGTTTGCTTTCTAAGTGACCTTTATCTATTTGCTTTAATGGTAAATAGGTTTATACAAAACTTTGCTCTCCAAAGATGCAATTTTATCATTGCAGTAGTTCACATTCAGAAGCCAAGGAAGCAGATAGACAGTGATCTTAGAAAACTATCTAGACCAAATTAGTAGGAATTCAGTGTAAATTTGAGTCGTCCAGTCAATTTCTTTAGCTTCCAAGGTAGTAAACTGTTAACTTTGACTTACAATTAGTATCTGGGATTATGTATCTCTTTCAATGATTGGTGGAAAACTAAGAATCCACCTCAAGATCACTTTTGAACTGTGTACTCTGTCGTATTCAACTCTTTGGCTGAAAAAAAAGCATAAATGTATTGTAAATTTTATGGATATATGATTTGACGTAAACTGAATATTCAGTGTGTGTAGGATTTCCTCATCAAATGTACATTTGCATAAATACAAAGTTCTGTCATGAAACTATAGATTTTGCAGGCTGATAGGTTCTAATTCAATATGATTTAATAACATCATTATTCAAATGGCACAGCATCAGCAGCCAATGAGCTTGCTTCTGTACATTCAAAAACTTGGCTAGTGTCTGCTGTAGCAGTTGCAGTGCACTTCAGAAGCCCTCCACCTCCACCTGTACAGATCTGCTACTGGGTAATTTCATGTATGCTTTATATATAGGGATTATTTCATGTATGTTATATGCTCACAGCAGCATGTCTGTGGCGGTATTGGCAGTAGCAAATCTCAGTACTAGATTTAAACACATTAATATTGTAATGTATATAACCATACTAAACTAGTAGTCATGATAGAACAGTAAATGTAATGAATAATGATCAAAAATATATATTACATTGCATATTATTGAGTTATGGACACATACTACATACGTCTACATTGTGTTTCAGAGAGACCTGCCGGTGTACTATAAGCCCTGGATGGACATTGCCAGGAATGTGCCAGAACTCATCTCCTCCCATTCTTTGCGCCTCAGAATTCATGATGTATGAGCTTTCATAATGAAATCATTTTACCTACACAGAGAAAGAGAAATAAGCAGCACATTAACATTTTGCTTTTCCATTCAGAATATAACCATTCTTCAGCGTTTTGATTGACTGATTAGATTGTTATATATTAATTTCATTAAACAGTATACTTTTCCTTTCATTTTCCTTTCTGCCTTTTCATTCTGCTTTTCTTTCCTTTCATTTTCATTTGAGGAATTACAAGTACAAAGCCTATATGGGGATTTCATTGTTTAACCTTTTCGGAGCCAAATTATGTTCCAGTTACACAAAAATGAGATTTATGACATCTTTTGTAGTTATAAATTAAAATAGTTCAAATTAAAATGAATTACACCCTCTAAAAAAATGCTGTGTTGTTTCAATCCAACTTTGGCTCAAATATGGACTAACCCAGCTGTTGAGTTAAATTTTTTAATTACATTTTTAACCCAGAAGTTGGGTTAGTCCATATTTGACCCAAAGTTGGGTTGAAACAACCCAGCATTTTTTAGAGTGCAGTTACAATAATTTAACTGTTATTTCTAATGTTACTTTTAATTGTTTCTGATCACTTGAAACCATAATCCATTTTTTTTAAAGAAATGTAATTGATAGAATTATTCATTTTGAGTTTAATTGATGGAAGCAGATAACTCAAGTTAAACTGTAAGACTAATGTGCACTTACTAATGTAACATTTTAGCTTTATTTTAAAACAAAGTAGCCTATTATTTAAATAATTTTAAACAAATGTAAATTCTGCCATCTTTTTCTGCCTTGTGACACCTAATTCTAAAGAATTCTTTCAAAACAAAAAAGCCACAGTTTGATATTTTGCACTTAGACTGTCACGGTCAAGGTGTGTGGAGGCAGGCAGGATGACGAGGACGACAAGGATATTTAATGTAGCGACAACAAGGCAGATTAGGGTAGATGAGACACACACACACACACACACACTTGGGGTAACATTCACAATAACCGACAATCCTAGCATACAAGAGACAGGAACTTATAGGGCAGATAACGAGGGGCAGACAGGTGAACACAATGAGGGTAATTAACTAATGATTATACGGGCTAAACCAACACAAGGGAAAGAAACCACAACAAACAGTCCACAGGGGTGTTACATTACTCCCCCCTCCCGGAACCTCCATAGTCCACTCACCCTCAGCCATGATGCAGGGGGCGGAGCTCCTCTCGGCGCTCACACAGTCCACGGCTTGCTCCCTTGTGGTGGGCACTGTCACCGGCTCTTGCACCTGGTCTGACGCGTTGGGCTCAACATCCGAGGCGATCCTCTTCTCAGCCGTGGGGCTTTGCTCCAGGGTCCTGAGTGGGGCTGGTGTTGTCAGCGATGTCCACGGTCAGATGGGATTTGCAGGACACCAGTACCCACTCGATGAAGGTGGCAAAGCTCTCTCGAGGACCATCCCCGGACAACTGCGCTCAGGTGGTGGCATTAAGTCCAACTCTATAGAAGGTACAGAGGCAGTTGTCCGGGTAGTGCGTGAGGTGGGGCAGGGACAGAAAGTCGTTAGTGTGGTCCTCAAGAGAGTGTTCCCCCTGCTCCAGCAGGAGGATTTGGAATGCGGGGTAATCCATCAAAGAAACAAAATAAAAAACAAAAACCGGAAAAACAAACGAGGGGAAAGACGCCGCTCCGCTATAGGCAGGCAGGATGACGAGGATTCAAATAAGGATATTTAATGTAGAGACAACAAGGCAGCTTCAGGTAGATGACTGACTGACTGACTCACTCACTCACTCACTCACTCACTCACTCACTCACGGGGTAACATTCACAATAACCGAAAATCATAGCATACAAGAGACAGGAACTTATAGGGCAGATAACGAGGGGCAGTCAGGTGAACACAATGAGTGTAATTAACTAATGATTATACGGGCTAAACCAACACAAGGGGAAGAAACCACAACAAACAGTCCACAGGGGTGTTACATAGACTGACTTCCTATTTATTTATTTTTATTATTTGTATTTATTTTAATCAATGTTATTTTATTTGAGGTACCAAGTAGGAAGTAAACACCGGACAATGTTGATGGTGAGAATAGATGCAGGGTTTGAAAAGGTTAATAATCCAATTATGATTATTCTGTGATTGTTTTGTATTCTGTATTATATCTCAGATGCCTCTGTTGGAGACTCATTTGTTACGGACACATCGTGAGCTGCGTTTGGCCCATCTGGCGTTGAGCATAATGACTATGGGTTATGTATGGCAGGAGGGAGAGAGAGAAACAGTAAAAGTACAACAATGATTTTATTTTCATTCCAGAACAGGACTGAAGCACAGAACCAAACTGTCTGACAATTTATGTTTGTCGTGAACCTCCAGGTGCTTCCACGGAGTCTGTCTCTGCCGTTCTGTGAGGTGTCTCAGAGACTGGGTCTGCCTCCGATTCTCATCCACGCTGACACAGTCCTCGCCAACTGGAAGAAAAGAGATCCAGATGGGTAAACTCACTGATCCATATAATATTGTGTTTTTTTTTTTTTAGTAATGTCATCTTGCCCTGTTTTACTTAATTAGGGTCAATACCTGCTATCAGTAGGCAGTCCGGTGCATCTCAATAGCAGCTGCTCTGCAATTTCTTTATATTAGATATTATGTTTCACCTTTGCTCCCAGAGGTCTCTGCATAGCAATAAATAACTAAATAAATAAATAAGAAAGAAAGAAAGAAAGAAAGGAAAATTGTTCACCAAAAAAATCAACTTGAAATATTACAAAAATAACTAAATGTTATAAACTTGCATAAAAAAGATAAACAAATTAGCTATATTTCAGATGTGTATTATTAAGCAAACTAACCAGTAATATTATATTTCTTTTTCATGCACAACTGGACATGGATTGTTCCCAGACCTTTTTCTATGGAGTATGTATTTTGTTTTATTAACAGAAAGTGTTAAATTATATTAATTTGTAGAACCAGCAGAGGGAGCCATCTCATTATGTTCTGAGGGGAATATGTAAATATGAGCTGTGGCAATTCAGATCCTCTTTGCAGCAATTATAGATACATTTTGGTCAAAAATGAGACACCACAATGAACAACATGACATGAATGAATGAATGAATGAATAATTCACATGTTGATGTAGTGTGTGGCTAGTGCTTCTGAAGTGTTGAACTGCCATTCATGGTGACTGCTTTTGCTTCCTATAAGGAACTTGGAGTTGTTGTTGACGTTGCCTGGTGGGGGAAGTGTAAGAGGATTTTTTCTGGTGACACTGCTGGTGGAGTTGGCAGCTGTTCCTGGTCTGAAGGTCTGACACCTTTACAAATGCTACAATTCACAGACAGAGCACTGAGCTAAGCTGTAATAGCCAAGAATACACCATGCTAGTATTTAATTAATCGCTTTGGTTCACCATGGCATGTGAATATGCACTGAAAAAAAATGTGTTGGATTTACTTGGAAACTATTTTCACTCTGAAATTGCTAGGCAGTTTCACAAATGACAAAGAAATGGAATTAAACACTTTGATTTAAACGTGAAATTCTGAAGTAGAAAGACTTAAAAGAGCATTATTGTCTTGTACTCCAATAATCTTTGTTTTATTTGCAACTTCGAAAGACACTTTACAGTGTGGTATTGCCATCTGATAACATTAGAGTACCATGGTAATACTAGCTCTTTCTTTTTTCACAGTCTATCCTTGATGTCATCAACGGCGTCCAATATAATGATGTTGCTATGGTCACCAAAGCTCTGGATGTTGTCAGTCAGGCCATAGACAGCATGAAACAGGCCTTTAAACTAATGCATGGTAATAATTTCAGGAGGACAGACGAACTTGGGTGTTTTAATACATTCATTCAAGACATGTGACATATTAATCGTTACTGTTTCAGAATATGTAGATCCCTCCATATTCTATGGCATTATGAGGATCTATCTGTCTGGGTAAGCCATACTGTAGATTTCACTGCTGTTTTTTGGATTTCCTTAAGAGTTCTTCTGAATCTATAAAAACTTAACTCTCCTTCTGCATGTGGGTGTTAGATGGAAAGATAACCCATCAATGCCAGAAGGTCTCATCTACGAGGGAGTTCAGGAGAAGCCAATGGAGTTTTCAGGAGGCAGTGCTGCTCAAAGTAGTATCTTACACTGCTTTGATGAGCTGCTGGGAGTCCAACATGAAGGCAGCAACGGTAAGAGAACCAATAGTAATGATTAGATCATTCCTGGTTGCATGATGCATGCATCAAGATGCATAAAGACATGTCTTTATATGAAAATTATTGTTTTGCTCTGTCAACACTGTCCAAACAGGGGCCTTCCTGAAAAGAATGAGGGACTACATGCCGCTCTCTCATAAGCAATTCATTGAAAACATCTCTAGTTGCCCATCATTGCGCAGCTTTGTGCTCCAGCAAGCGGATGAGCATCTAACACACACATTTGAGCATTGTGTGGCTCGCTTGGTGGACTTTCGAAATTACCACATCAACATTGTTACCCGTTACATCACTATCCCGGCCTCCCGTGCCAAACAGCTCCGTGCCTATAAGCAGGGTTTGGCCGAGGAGCTGGACGCGATCAGAAGTGCACCCAAAGCGCTGGAGGAAAGAGGTACTGGAGGGTCAGGGCTTATGACCTTTCTGAAGACAGTGCGTGACGAAACCAAAGACACTTCAATCTCACAGTGTACTATTGGAAACCAAGTCTCGCCAGACCCATCGATAACAGAAATACAGAAGGCTGCATCTGAGCTCACAATAGAATGAGAATAGCACCAAAGTATCTTGGAATGGTGATTTGACAACCAAGGCTCATTGGAAAAATTTACCTGTTGCGACATTTCTGCAAAATGATATTACATTGCTACTTGTGCTACTTTGCGACACTTTCAAAGTGAAATGTCCAGTGAGTGACACTAAAAACATTTAATTTCATCCACAACAGATTATTATGTTGGTTGTTAGTCTGTACATAGCCTATAGCAGCTGTTTGGAAATTAAATGTCCAGTGAGTGGCACTAAAAATGTACATTTACTCCAAGATGTCTCCAAGATCATTTAAGATGTAGGTTACTTTTGTCTTCAGAAGAACAGTAACAAAGATTCTTGATTCAGCTACTGTCACTTTGAGAGTCAAAAGCTTCTACAGGCAAGACAAAATTATAATAATCGCAGGCCCTGACGATAAATTGAGGTGTGATGATATATTGAAGCAAAACAATTGAACTATGCAAGAAACTGAACATTATTTACAATCAGACTTGGACCGAAGAACTGATGAGCTGCTGATACGAGCATGCATAAACCCTAGCACTTGAATGTAAAATGGTGAGATATTTACTAGTTTACTCACTTTCCATGCTTTAGACGTAAAACATCCATGTTTCACATAATTATTGTGTGTTTTATACGTAAACTAATTGGTGAATTGGTTATTTGAACCAGTTCGTAGAAATGAACCATCTGAAAGAACCAATTTCCCAGAAAATAATCGGATTTCCCTGTTTGCCTGAGGCAATTGATTACAGGTAATAGTGTTATAAAAAATATTCAGTTTCTTGATTCAACATATATTTTACAAACTTACCGGACAGCCAAAACAATGATACTGTATGTGTGCAAATTGAGATTCTTTTTTAACCAGCTGATAACTCACAAACAAGTATTTGTTACAAGTAACACGAGTTACGTAATCAGATTACTTTTTTTCAAGTAACTAGTGAAGTAACGCATTACTTTTTAACTTTTTAACACTAACACCAGTTACTTAGTTTTCCCATTTATTGACTGACAGCTCTTCTGTCCGAATGTTGAGAGAAATCGGGAGTAAGTCCAGAAGCGTTGTTGCGTGCGCTGTGTAACTTGATGCTTACTGTACAGTAGTTCTAGACTAAATGTCAACATGCATTTACTTATATCACTTGCACAAAAACAGATTCATTGTTCATCAACATTAATAAAAACAGTGAAATGCAAACTAAGAATATGATGTAAAACTCCTATAATAAAATATGTCAAATAACACAAATATCCTTTGAATTTAATCCCATCTTATTAACCTTATTTACATTTGATCAATTTGTATGATCCAATTCAACAATATGATTAAGCAGATAAACACAAAATGTGTTAATTTTTTTTAAATTGCCAAAGAGTGTTCTTTCTTCTCCTTTGTGCTATTATTAATGCAATCCAGAATAGCAGCACAGCTGAAAGGTTTGTTTGAGGTGAGCCCTCTACTGACGTGAATTTACATTTCCTTCAGCCTGACGCTTATTCATTTCACTTTTGGTACGAAAGGGCTTTAAAATTTCAAAAAACAAAACTTTTTTATATTTAAAACAAGCAAGCAAGCCCAAATGAGAACAAGTACTGCAAAAGTAAAATAATGCAATACTTTCCATAAAAAGGTAACTAAGTAACACAATTAGTTAATTTTTTAATGGAGTAACGCACTATGGAAATACACTACTTTTAAAAGTAACTTTCCCCAACATTGCTCACAAGGAGTGAAAACAGCGGCAGGAATTCCTCTGTTACACAGGCGTTTCCGACACCTGTACCAAACTCGAATGGACAACATTGATATGACAAGAACCAAGTATGCTTTAGAATTCTGTTCTTTTTAGAGTCACATTTTGACACATCACATCTTGTTTTTGGTTTGTTTACTGGTATTTGGTCTGCATTCGTCAAACCGCATTTGGAAGAGGATGTTTGGTCTGCTTGGTGCCAAAAGGTTCAGATGGCACGCTAATTTAAACGAACCGCATTAACAGAGCAATCGCACAAGTGTTCATTTTAATCAAACCAAACCCGTCTTAGTGTGAACACACCCATTTACATTTTTTTTGTTTTACAAGAAACTAATGAAATTAAGTCTTCATTAATCAATAACATGCCCTGTAATCATGACTTGTGTAAAAAGGAATAGGCATATATTTGCAGAAATGTAGGTAGAGGCAAGTTTTTCAAATGAGCCTATGTTGCAACTTGACCTGATACATAATACTATCAAACATTACAGTGTTAGAGGAAAAATGACATTGTATTATTAGTCTCAACGAAGAGCTAAAAGCAACATTTAATTATATACAGTGGGGCCTAACGATCTGAGACTATAGTAACCCACTGTATGTCATCAAAGATGTTAATTTATCCATCACTGTAGAACACTACCTGAATTCCCATTATAATGGTTGTAATATGTCCCAAAATGAGTTTAGTATGTACTGCATCTTGTTTATTCATTGCTACTTACATAATAAAGGTATTAGAGCTGTTTCTGCTCCTGACTCTCTAACCTTTATCTTGGAAAGCTGGGAAATGGACATTCCTTTGTCATTTCATGCCATGAATTATTTTGATTTGAAGCTATAATCCAATCAAAGCGTAGAGTAAAGCCTTCCACTTGAGCCACGCACATAGCTTCCCTTCAACGAAAACGAGTGTTATGGACATTTTGACTTCAAGCCAAACCATAATTTGAACCATCAACTTTAGTTTCCATTATATGCAACCACTAATCTTTCCATTTCATTTAAATTAGAATGCAAAATATGTCCCCCTTCTCACTCTGGGTAGTTTGATTCAAACCATGAGCTTCAGTTCCTGGATGACAATTGGCTGCAATGAGACCGCTCTCATGCTAGAAAGCTTTCATATCACGGATGCTTAGTTTTAGTAAATAACTGTGAGAATTTTCAATAAGCAGCTGTTGCATTTGCATTTTTGGATGAAAAAAGATCCTACTGTAATTATACCATTCTGTGCAAAGATTAAGTACGAATCTTGTTGCTAATTTTTCATGGTTTTTGGGGTTATTTTATCCTATGGTAAACCCATTAATGAAGTGCAGTGTGTAGTAAGTATAGACACACAGTACAATGCTGGTAATCATTCAGTGAAATGAGAGTATTCTCCCATTCAGTGTGGAGTAACTTACAGAAGCCTGTTTCCACCTCAGAGTAAAAATGTGATGTCGCTTTTAAATTAATAATAATAAGTCATATTGCTATGAAAAGTCCTGTTGTGTGATGAAGACTTTAAATTGTGAGATATGGTGACAGATATGGGCTCTCATAATTATTATAATTCTTCTAAGTAACTAACTAAAATTAGCGATGGTACTAACCTGTGTTGGAAAATCCTATTTTTTTGTGAATTGGTTCGGTCAGATGGTTAATTTACATAAATGAACAAAATCACAGATGATTCACTGATTTGACTCAGTTAAATTAATTTGTTTTTATAAAGTTTATAATATTAACAGTAACATTATAAAATATTATTATATTATAAAAATATTTATAATTTATCTTTATACTTTTAATGTTGTCACCTTCATTCATTAAAAGCTTTTTTTTCTGTTTTGTATTTAGTGATATTTTATGTTTTTATTGGGTTTATAATATTAATATTATTATAGTGTTATAAAAAATATGTATAATAACATTGAACAATTCTGTAAAAGTTTAATGCTAAAAACATTTATTAATTCTTTAATTTATTCATTCTAGTTTTTTTCTTGCATTTAGTGATTATTTATGTTTTTATAGAGTTAATAATAATAATAATAATACTATTTATAAGATATTTATAATTTGTCTGCAATTTGTCTTCATTCATTCATTCAAATTTTTTTCTTTTTGTATTTAGTGATAATTTATCACTATAAAAGATTTATAAAAGTGTTTATAATATTAATAGTATTTTAATAAATACATTAATTCAAAAAACCTAATCTCTGCATAATCTATGACTCTAAGGCACGGTTTCATAGACAGGGTTTAGCCTAAACCAGGATTAGGCCATAGTTCAATTAGGCCATTTAAGTCATTTTTAAAAACATGCCTTAGAAAAACGCATTACTGGTGTGCATCTTAAGACAAAACAAAGGGACTGACATCTTTTAAGATCAGTCTGTGCAATTTCTTTCAGTTGAAACAGCTCAGATTTAAATTTTAGTCTAAGACTAGGTTTAAGCCTTGTCTGTGAAACTGGGGGTTAATGTAATCGGACATTTGTTTTTAATATTTTATATGATTTATTTTTTTGATACATAAAAATATTATGATATTTTATTCTTCATTTTGATAATCATAGTATTTACAAATATATAATTACATATTAATTATACTGTCCCATTGAATAGCATTAATGCAGTTAGCATTTAGCTTGCAGCCTGACTGTACTTGAATGCATATCTTGGCAAGTGTCAATTAAAGTGGCTCTGCTGAGCTGACATTCAGCTTGCTATATTACCAATGTTTCTGGTACGCGACATTGCACATTCTATTTCACAGGGGAACTACCACTCATCCAATGACACAGCAGAGATAGCAGGCAGAAAAAAAGGTCACTCTCATCATTCTAATGTGTAACTAGAGAGGTTTCACTCTTAATCACAGCTTTGGGTGTGTAGTTCCTTTGGGCATTCATATACTGATTCAAGAATCAGCTTTCTTACGGGATGATGTGTTCTGGTATTGGGTGGTAAAGCGTGTCTAGGCCAGCGATGTCCAGGCCTTGTGTTAAATATGGTCTTGATGCGACCTACGCTTATGAAGCCCATGGTTTATGGTTCATATCTAAGTAATTCACAGATCATTTGAAAAGTCATGTCTTAACATGTAATGTTATATTGATAAATGCGAAACTAAGGGTGTTGGTTTCAATCAAGCACGACTAAAAATTTCCCACAGCTCATTGCCTAAAAGATGAATAATGACACGGAGGGCGGAGCATGTTACGCCCTTTATGAGATTCTCAGTCTTTCCAAAAACATCACGTGAATGTCACAAAGATACAAAACAATTAACAAATCCACTAGGTTAGTTTAAAGTCCACACAACAGCAGTCTCAAGATCTGAAGTTTCTGAATACTCTAGGAAAAAAGGGGTGTGTTTAATTGTTTTGATTGTACACTTGTTTGCTTCAAATCTTAAAAGTATATATTCTTAAAAAGAGTACTTGCAAATAATATAATATTACTAAAATAAAAGGCCACTTAAGCGTACATAAAGAGAGAGATTTTCATGACTGTGTTTCTTAACACACTTTAGTACACCAATGTCAATTTAAAAGTTTTACCTTAAAGTGCATTTTAAATCATTGTTTTAATATTTTTTTGTGGTATTTAAAAAAGTTCTTATTTTGATGCATTGACTAACATACTAAAGCAAATGTGTAATTACAATTATAAATACATGACACCCATTTCAATAGAAGTGCATTTCAAATTACTACAAATGCTTATCAGAACATTCAGAAGTACGATTTATCCATATTTCAAAGACAATACAAGTAATTATGCAATTACAAATGAAGATGTAATTACTGTAAGTGGGTCTAAAACACTCATAAGTTCAACTAAATGCATTTCATATTATATTAAACTATACATTTTCATTCAGTTGCAAATAACATGCAGTTAAGTGTCTGAAAGCATTACTTAATTCTTTAAACACAAGTCTGTTGTTTTTCTCTATACATTGTGCAAATTTGAAAATGTAAGTCAGATTGTTTAGAAAACTAAACAAGTGATTTTAAATGTTCAACATGTTCATATTATTCAGGCAACTTGGGTGGTACAATGTGATATTTTAATCTTTAAGTATTAAATATTCATAGAACATATGAATTATGGGTAAAATTGTCTGTTCTGAATTATTTACATT